TTTCAGCAGGATCTTAAGAGATTATAGGGACCTTCGTTGCAAGATATGTGAACATGAACTTACGTTGGGTTAACAATAAACGACAGAACCATTGCGACGACTCCCAGAAAGCACCAGATATCGAGGTTCACTACAATAACAGAGAGCTATCAAAGAGCCTTGAACAGTTATAGAAGGTGTTGCTAGTTCACCCAAATGGACTCACACTGCCAATTGCCCGCGAGTTTCGTATCATCGAATTCGTAGATTATTTTTAGTTTCTTTGTCGTTTCAAATACATAATACATAACAAACATCCAAAGCTGCCTAAAAGTGAAAGTCTGATCGATAAATTAATCTTCTGTCAAACTTAAAGGCAGTTGGCACGATAAATCCCCCAAGACGAGTAGGATTAATACGCCTGGCAGGACGGAATTCCGCGACCCTGCATAATGCCTTTTCCAAGGAAGGTGCCCTTATAAGGGCCCTATCAAGCCACAACATTCCGACCCAAACGCCCGCCACCGCCCGCCCACAAATGGACGACCGTTCCTGACGCTCTAATCGATTCATTTGCTAAGCAAATTATGAAGCGAAGGGATTGGTATGAAGCGGCCGTGATGCTGCATGGATATATGAGTACACATATGCAGCCGTACCTTCGGTAGCGGTTATTGGCAAGATGCCTACGGGAAACTCGTCCAAAATTGATTTTGAACACATTGAGAACGGAGGCTCTTTCTTCGCAGGATTTTGACCGTTTCACTCCGTTCTTTCGCCATTTCCCCACTATATAGCGCCCTACTAGCATTTCAGGCCAAGCAACAAATCATCGTGCACTGCCTTCAAGCAAAATTGAAATCAAAAATTAATCAAATATACCCACCCGCTGAGCACCAAGAGGCCCGAAGACGTTGCTTCATAAATCGGAAAAGTCGTTTCGACGCCCATTTCCACTCCGATCGGGAATTGCGGAATAGAAAATCCACCAAGGCCGGCGCACGCCACAAGGAACACTACTGAGTCAATGGGTCCTGTCCATTTATTACGAAGCCACTGAAGAAGGCAAATAACTGATGTCGCAACTCCGGATGGTTAAACTCGTCCTGTTCAAGTGGCCCATAAAATGTGAGCAGGACGACAAGAAGTGTTGTCCGTTCAATCAAAGGAAGAAGAGGAAAACAGGAGGAGAGAGAGCGAGGAATAGTGGAGGGGCTATAAAAACGGAGAGAACCAGCACGCGAACAAGCAAGGACTAAGAAAAAAAAGAACAAAAGAAAGAGTGAAGAACGTTGAGCGGTAAAAAGAAAAATAGCATAGAGATGCCAGAGAGGCGGCGAGACTAAAGGGCTGGAATAGGAAAATAAAAAGGAGGCAAGTGGAAGTGTAGGAAGGGATAAGCAGAATGTTAAGAAAGGTATCAGAAGAAAACGAATTGAACACAGCGTTCACTTAGTGTAAAAGTAAGACAAAGAGAAGATAGACAGAAGGAGAGGTGACGAAATATTCGGAACTGAGATTTAGCAAGGAAATCGTGAACCATAAAAACACTCACAAATCTGGTGAAAATTATTGTAGCGGTGCAGCAAACCCAACAGACTCTGAGCAGCTCCTTGAAGCGTTTTGTACAATCTGCGATAGCTCCACAAACCACAGATGTCACCACACCGACCAGAGCGGCCAGTGCAGTAGGATAACTGAAAAAATCTTGTAGTAGCTGCGGTTACCTGTGCCAGGGTGATATGTCTCATCCTTGCAATAGAAAGAAAAATAGTCTCATGCTTTTGCACATTTTGGTTTCTTTGGAAAGCCAAGAAGAAGAAAGATTCCAGAACAATTTTGTGACTCAAGGGTGTATTCCGAGATATGTCATCGCTGAAGACATAAGGGAATAAAAGCATTTCAAAAAAGAATTGAGCAGTTAGGAGCACTTCTTCTGATTGAGAGAAAAGCTTGATCTAACTTTTCAAGTGAGGCGAAGGTGATGTAGTGATAAGCGCACGCTTATCGGGACAGGGATGAAATCCCGGATCGCCGAACGCTCAGGCCAACGTCTCTATCCTCCGGGGCAGCAAATTGGTACCAGATTCATCTGGGAGGACAATATACATACATACATATAATAACACTTATTCAAACATTAGCTGGGCCCCCTCACGTCATTGTATAGGCACCATCGCATCAGTAAGCCACTAAGATTCTGAACGGAAGTAGAATGCGTACCGCATCCCAAAAAGGGGTTGATTGAAGATTTTTCGGATACTTTAACCCTAAAAATCTGCTCGCTTTTCAACCCTCTTTGCAAATATGCCTGCAAAAACGACTGCTGCAGCTTCGTTCGCTGCGAAGTCTTAGGCGTATCAGGTCGCTGGGTTTGGCGCGGCGCCAGTTCGCTCACCAATTGATGAAGCGAGCAAGCAACAAGCTGATGAAAAGCAGCCTGGCGCCGCGCTGAACCCAGCTCTTCCCCACCCCACCCCGCCTCCCCCCAGCATCCACAGCGAACATGACTATGAAAGACGTGCTGTGAGGACATTCCGTTAGCAGAGTTTGAAGTAGATTTCATCTTTCTGAGAAAGCGATCGGGATTTTTTTATCCCTTGAATCAGTTTTTTTCCAGAAAAGCAGCCTATAAAAAGCGCGCTGTTGCTGGATGCTTTGAAGTGCTCTCTACAGTGATAAAAGCAAGTAAGAATAACTAATTGCCAGCTCTCAAAAATTCACCATAAAGATCGTAGCCTTGGCTCGGGTGATAAATTTTTTTTTTTTATTCGCGACATGATCACCATGAACCCCCACAGTTCGGCGAATGCCAGCCCAAATGTGAACATCTGGATGACGAATTGTTTGTTCCTGAAAAGCTGACCAAATAGCTGAAGTCAGTCAATGTACGTAGGTGCGCAGCTGCTCAGCCCGAGTGCAACTTTACTTACTCACCCTTCCACTCTGAAAACAAACGCACTGTTTAGAGCAAAAATTGTCATATCACACCATCTGAGCCGAGTCATCGATACAAGACTCATTCCGGATTTAGGAGTAAAAGCATCTATTTCTGATATTGGAATGCACTCTCCTCCTCCTGAACCCTTTGTCTCTGTCTACTGGCATATAGAGCCATTTGCAGCTCGGATGGGAAGCGAACCGTGGCGCAATACTAAGCGTAAATTTTGACGCGATAAATCAGAAATACAACGGTCGGAAGAAAGTCACGACACCAAACACATGGCTGATCGCCACATCCAAAGGCGTGGAGCGTATAGTGGTAGTTGATCCGCCCAGACGATGCTGGAGTGGCGCGATTGGTGTCTACGCCGCCTGTATGAACATGAGACAGAAAGAAAGCGATTGTCGTTATTATAGCCATGCTGGTGTTCTAAAAAACAGCAGATCGTTTGGTTTAAAATCTCATGATCATATTATCAGAATCATCAGAGCCCGAATATTGAAAATTTCACACTGAAGCCAAAGTGATCTTTTCTTATAAACATCGTTGCGGGTCTGATCCCTATCACCGGATCATTACCTCAGCGGTGTGCACTTTCGCTGCGCACCGCGCTCTTAGCCTTCGCGTCGCCAGCCTGCCGACTGGCACGAGCGGAGCGTTCACTGCCGCCTTCACATCCCTGCCGTGTGGTCTAAATAATACAAAGACACCCACATAGCCGCCGAAGTGACTTTTCGCAAGACCTGAGCGCCACTTTTGTGGAACGCCACTTACAAGTGGAAGTTCAGTGGATTCAAGTAGTTTATCAGTGACAGACGCTTCTTGTAGCTCAAAAATTTGCAAGACAGTAGCCGCGATTAAGTCATATCGCAGCGTCCCCCTTGCAGATTGTAGCTTTGCGTCCTACATGCCTTGCTAGATCGTCCCTTTGACGGCATTCCCAGTGATGAAGAGCACATCCATAACTGTATAAGAGCAATGCGCGTGTAGTAGGATGTTGCAAGGAAATGTACTAATGCATCCATAAGGACGGGGTCAGGATATCCTGCTTTGCTTGGCGGTAAATCGCAGCACGGTCCGGAGAACCTCCACAAGCACATTGAGCCTGCCAGGCCGACCTTTACTTTAGAGCTGCCTCTGCCAATTTTTTCTTCCTCTGAGCTGCTCAATTTCTGGATGACACATTTTCAGCTTGTCTATAGCGTTTTGCCTAATTCAAACGCCACTAGCCCACAATCTACACTTGGCTTGGGGTCTAGTATCCGCAAAGACCAGTACGCCGACTCCTCGATATGCTTACTGTTGGTCCTTGGAAGTGCAATGAGGCAAAGGACAACTCGCGCATGGTTTTTTTCTGCGCCCCTTCTGGAAAGTTGTGTGCACCTTCATCGATATAAGGCCTCGGACTTGCCCTCTATATCAAAACCGGTATTCGGTATCTAACCATGAGTAATCTGCGCTGTCGCCCTCCTTCGTCGAAGCTGCCTTCACGCGGCTCCCGCGGACGGTATAAACTGTTCAAAATTATGATCGTGGAGCGGCGCGTGCTAGTCCCGCCCGCAACACAACTCTGCTGCCCTTTTCTGGCAACAAATTCGTTGTAAGGTCCGCTGCCCGGGCGCTAATCCACGATTATGAGTTCATCTGACGCCTCCTTTTCTCCTGACTCGCGGCCTTCCAGTTCCGTGTCCCCAAACGCCGTGTTCTCCAACTGCCGAAACATGAAGCTGCACGGACAACAAAGCCATGGAATATCGCCCTTTGACGGCCCGTTTCAGAGTTGTTCTATCGGCGAACCAGCTGTTGCGCGATCGCACCCGGTGCGGATGAGGGCCTAGTGTTGATAGATGGGCTAATTGGGCACGTACAGACTGGGATTGGTATGGGATGTTGGCGGTTTTTTTCTGCTGTTTTTCTCCACTATCGAGTCACTCAGAACCTTGTCGTCTACAGCAAACCCCTAATCCATCATCCGTGATGGCGAGTGATCGCGGGTTTTGCCTTTAAATCGATAACCGGTAATTTCAACAGTTTTTTTTTCTTACTTTTCCATATGATATGAGCATTCCTATGCCTAAAAACTTGTTCAGGTAAGAACATGAACATGATTCCAAATAGACCACTTGAAACAGCGCAGAAAGAGAAACCTATGACACACCATGTGTGTCATGCGGTCCAGAACAGTTAAACCAGTGCTAAAAAACTCGGTCCGATCACATTATAGCATGGAAATCCCTATGAAGAGGGTCATCTTGGGGATGATCAAAGCATTACCAAAGATGGACGAAGGATACTAGTTGCAGGAGTTCACGGCGGATCGCCTCCGTGGTCGGAATGAGGTGCTCGGTCGGACTACTCAAGGATAATTCAGAGAGTCCAGAGAGATTTAGCCGTTTCGTCAAACTTTTTCCCTTTTTGGGCCAAGGGTTTCAGGTCATCTACAGCGGGGCTTCCCGAGAGATGAGCGGTGCATTTTGGATTTTCTCCTGAAAACATTCACAAAACAGAAAAATCAAATAAAGGCGGAGAAGCCTGTAGAAGTAGCTAGGGAATTCTTCCAAGATGAGTTCAAAAAGAGAACTTACAAATTCGAACATATGCCAAGATGTGCGCTGGACCTTGTTGCTACCACTGAAGTACAAAGATGGTGTGATGGTACCCAGTACTACACCAAATGGATTTGCTGAAATCATTTTCCGATAAAAAATCAAGCTCCGTGCATAGGGAATCAGCCTGTAAAAGTCAGCATCGACCAGTCCTGCCGTATTAGGTCACATTGGGCCCCCTTCAGTGATACCAAAGCGTTGCCAAATGCATTTTCGCTATGGAAGGGACTGATCTACGCCAGAACTTCTGACCACCACAAAACCTACCAATAAATGTGAGGACATTCGCTAGTGATCGCTGACGGTCTGGGAACCAAGCCTCGGCGATTTTTGACGGCAGGACCAAGAAAAACGCCTGAGCGGAGGCCGCTATGATTGAACCTTGAACAGCAATCTTTAAATGTCAATGCTAGGCGGATAAAAGATAGTTTTGTGGTAAGCTGTTGTATTTACCTTGCTGACTGATCTGTGCTTCCAAGTGCTTCCAACCTGGCTTACTAAAGTTACGCCTCGCTTCTCATTACCAGTTGTTTGTTCCCAATTCGGCCCCATATTTTTCTTCAACTACGACTTGGACGAAAGTGGTAGTCTACAGGTGGTCAAACTTTTTCGCAAATCTTAACCGCTGAGTTGCTCATCGTCAGGCTATGACACGGTATGGCCTGCTTAAAGGCAGTTTGGCACGATAAATCCCCCAAAGAGCGAGTAAATTGGCCTGTCAGGACGGAATGCCCGCGACCCCTGAGCAGGCGTCCTGCCATAAATGCAGGATATTCCAAAGGACGGTGCTTATAAAAGGCCCTTTCAAAAGTTCAACAACATAACAACTCAAACGCCCGCCACGCCCGCCCGCCTTGAAATGGACGACCGTTTCTGACGCTCGTATTGATTTATTTGCTAAGTAAATTAGGAACAAAGCGTGTGTATGACACGTGGCCTGCCCCGATGCCCGCATGGATATATGAGGTACACATATGCAGCCGTACCTTCGGTAGCGGTTATTGGCAAGATGCCTACGGGAAACTCGTCCAAAATTGATTTTGAACACATTGAGAACGGAGGCTCTTTCTTCGCAGGATTTTGACCGTTTCACTCCGTTCTTTCGCCATTTCCCCACTATACAGCGCCCTACTAGCATTTTAGGCCGAGCACCAAATCATCGTGCCAACTGCCTTTGAGAGTGGTAGTTCAAATGGTGACGGCATGTGTGCACTAAATTCAGAAAAATGCGCTCATCGTGAGCCCTCACGAATTTTTGTGACAATTCGAGGCAAGGTCGAGGCACAACTATAGGTCGGGTAGTTGTCTCATTGTAACAAAGGATTTCATTCTTCGTCACATCCGCTGGCGCATTCGCTTGGTGGAGGCACCAAATGTTGCTCTGAAGCCTGTACATATCCCCTTGTGAAGTCCTGTGAACTAAACCTGCTCACTTGTACCATTCTTGCAGCTTCATAGGAGTAACAACAGATCTCGTCGAAATCTCAGATCTCAGAGACCTGTTACTTGACATGAACTAACGAAAGGAATTAGCGGAAATGCCCCCTTAAGCAAACTGCACCAACTCTTGTTTTCGTTGTACGTTACGCACATGTCGTACTTTTTGGGTGTATATTTAGCACTTCTTTGTTCCACTATCATCATGCTAATCTGTAATTCTAGTAACATTTTATTGGTTTTACTTCCTTTACACACTCTCTTTCCATATTTCTCTCTATCACCTATTCTCTTACTAGCTGTCAACACAGCAGTTTGTTAACACTTTCTTTAACTCCTTCTTCTTCTCTTTCTTTTACATAATCCTTGACGTTTTTCTTTTAATATCGGTTTCTTGAGCTTTCATATCGAAAGTTTTCAAAGCAGTAAGTGCAGAGAAGTAGTGTCTGACAGGAGAGGCGCACCTGTATGAAGCAGTGCCTGCCGAGTAGTAGAACTCTCGATTAACGGCACTGAAGAGGCCATTCGAACCAGTGAACCCACAAAGTTCAGTGTTGTACCACATATTATCTGGAACGAAAGATCACTGTACTCCACGCATCTTTAC